GACAGTAAATACAGGGCAGAGTATGAAAATGACAATCTAGTAGTCTCAGGAAATTTGTTCTTTCATTGAACGGTGTCTAACTGTTCTCAAAAATGGCTTGGAATGTTTAGCATTTGGGAGGAGTTGTCATAGTTAAAATTAATTAGGAACAGTTGGGTTTGTCCAATACCAGGTCTCCCAGGAATAATGGAAGAATATTCCTCTGTTTTTACTCTTTGCAGACAGAATGATAACAGATTAACATGTAGAGAAAAAGATTGAGCATCTCTATTTAGCAACAAATCATAGTTCTAATCTCCTCTCTCACTAATAGTCTGATTTAGGGCTCAATCTAAGGTGTTGTATTTATTTTTCAAGGAATTATATACACACTTTATATACTATTTTGTTTTGTGAGTTTTGGACTTAGTAAAATTAGAACTCTGGGAAAACCGAAAGCAGGAAAATGGCTTGGGAGAAGGGGAGCTGGGGCTGTACAGAGAGAAAGATAGGTAATCTGGTTACTTGGAGAAAGAAATGAAAAGTTAATCCAGGCAGAGTTCATTAGGCAAACTCACACCCTGGAATTTCATTTTAAAGTGGTTGAACTCTCAAGAAGATAAAAGATTGTGCCTTTCATTAAAAATTATGTTTATTTAAATAATTATGTTTATTAGAAGCTTGTAATAATCTGAGGAATGTTATAATTTGAATGCTGTATTAAAGTGGAAACAATTTATTTAGACAGATGACCTAAGCTGGTTAAGCATGCATAGAAAAAAGACTGGAAGAAAAAACCCCCAAGATTTTGTAATAGCATGGTTGTAATCTTTATTTGCCTTCTTTTCAATTAGAGCACGTATTCCTTCTATAATCAGCTGATTTAGCATTTCTCTGACAACTTTTTGAAAATGTACTCTTTTAAATTGAAGTCAATAGCTATAGGTAAAGTTAAAAAAAAATCTGTGTTCTAAGATTGCATCTACATTCAGGTTTCATCTTAAACATTCCCATCTTTTGGTTTACAGAAATTGGTCAGAAGAATGATAATAATTATTGTAATTGGTTTGAGGAATTCGTTCAAATTTATAATTTAGTGTTCTGCTTTATAATTTACAAAGCACTTTATGCTCTTTCATTTGATCTTGTAATAACCAATGAGCTAGGCTGTTGTTAACATTATTTCAAATTGGAGAATGCTGAGGCTCAGAATTTGTGATTTGTTTAAATTTTACAGTCAGTAAATAAAAGAGCCAGTATTAACCCATATTAAAAAAATTCAAACAATACCAGTGAAAGTCTCCTTCCTGTTCTGAGCCCTCAGTCCCCTTCTTAGAGGCATTCATTCTTGCCAGTTTCTTTTGTGTGTATTTCCAGCAATAGTCTGTGATGTATATGCAAATACATATTTATGCTATAGATGTACTTTTTATTTTTAGTAAACTGCATATTATTGTGTGACTCATTATCATTATTATTATTTTTAAAGCTTAATTGATTTAGATTGTTCTATACCCATGGTCGGCAAACTGCGGCTTGCGAGCCACATGCGGCTCTTTGGCCCCTTGAAGGTGGCTCTTCCGCAAAATACCACGTGCGGGCGTGCACGTACAGTGCGATTGAAACTTAGTGGCCCATGCGTAGAAGTCGGTATTTTGTGGAAGAGCCACACTCAAGGGGCCAAAGAGCCAGATGTGGCTCGTGAACTGTGGTTTGCTGAGCCACAGTTTGCCGACCACTGTTCTATACCAACACACAGATCTCCCTCATTATTTTCAAAACTTTAGGATTTTCCCTTATATGAATATGCTATAATTTATTTAACTAGCCATCTAATGATGGACATTTGTTGTTTGCATTCTTTTGTTATTACTGACAGTGCTGCAGTGAATATTCTTTTTCACATCTTTTACATGTGTCTGAGTATGTGCATTAGTTTTAAATGGGTATTATTTTGATCCAAAAGATGGCTATCCTATCTAATAAAGACAAAATATGCAAATTAACCATTATTCTGTGACAAAGATGGCGGTGCCCACAGCCAACAAGGAGGAAATATGCAAATTGACGTGACAAAGATAGTGGCAGCCAGGCCAGGACGCAGGCATTCCACCCCGTCCCAGCCGCTCCGGGCCTATGGGCAGCACGCGTGCGCAGGGGCCGGGGCTGTGTGGGACGCCTGCTATGAGGGGGGGTGCGGGAGGTGGAGGGAGCTACAGGAAGGTGGCTCCAGCTAGAGTGAAGGTGGAAGGTGGCGGCCAGAGCGAAGTCCTGGGTCCCTGGTGCCGGAGGGAAGCCGGTGCCGGCAGCCAGGGGAAGGAAGGCCTACTCTTGCACGAATCTTCGTGCATCGGGCCTCTAGTATGTGTATGTATGTATGTGTGTGTATATATATATACACACTATATACGTGTTTTGTCTTCACCTGAGGATATTTTCTCCATTGATTTTTTTTTAGAGAGTGGAAGGGAGAGAGAGAGAGAGAGAGAGATCTACATGAGAGAGACTCATTTATTGGTTGCCTTTGGCATGTGTCCAGATGGGGGTCAGGAATCAAACCCAAGACCCTTTGGTCCTAGGGCTTTTGCTCTAACCACTGAGCAACCCTGCCAGGGCAGGATTTTTTTTTAATTTGAATAGATAATACTAATTTCTATTCAGCAACAGTGTTTGAGTGTGCCTTTTCTCCACAGCTTTATCAAAATAGTATATTATCAAACTTTTGATCATTGTCAACCTTATAAAATGATATTTGTTAAAAGTTGACCTCATATTGTGCTTTCCTATCACATAACTGAACTTTTTAATATTTTGTCTAAGAGTAAGAAGTGAAGTGTAAGAAACATCTTTGTGATATAAATAATGCTTTCATGAATTGGAGGTGCAATCTATAATAATAAAAGCATAATATGCTAATTATACCAGCCGTCCTTCCAGAAGACCTTCTGGATGAAGCCAGTGCTGCGAGGGAAGCCTGGGTCCCTGCTGGGGTCCAGCCCCAGCAGGTCCAGGGGTCCCCAACGGTGTGGACGGAGTCGGCGAAGAAGGAATGACACAGAGACAGTGTTCAGTTGATCAGCAGCCTAGCCAGGATCTCTAGCCAGGATCTCCAGCCAAGTTCTGAGTCTTATTGTCTTGTTACATCTGTATTTATACCAGTTGATTTTAATCCTATCAATTTCTATTCCAAAGGTTAGGGCGTTTCTTATCTCCATTCCAGGGAGTAAAGATTATGTACCTTAAGCGTGATTGTTCGTAGTTAAAGTGGTTAACTACCCGCCTGGCACTTAGTTAAGAGGTTTTATTCCCTCCCTAACTTCAGGGAAAAATCCCTACCTGGGGTAACAACCTTTCTCAGAGAGGTGACCTTAGTTGAAACACATAGTGCCAAGAAGGGGAGTAAACATATTAAGAACAGTATGCCATATACGCCAGGTCCCTTGAAACATATGCTGTGCAGATGTTTCTTCCCTGAAATGACTGTGTCAAGCAGCAAGGATGGGAATTGGTCTTCCTGCATCTACTCTTCCCCCTTTCCAGGCTAATCTTCATATTACAACCACTATCCTTTTTTTAAAATACATTTTTATTGATTTCAGGGAGGGAGGGAGAGAGATAGAAACAGCAATGATGAGAATCAATGATTGGCTGTCTCTTGCATACTCCTTACTGGGGATTTAGCCTACAACCCAGGCATGTGCCCTTGACGAATCAAACCTGGGACCCTTTAGTCTGCAGGCCAACACTCTATCCACTGAGCCAAACCGGCTAGGGCAAGGTTGAAGCTCTTTTAAAAACTTATTTTTATATGGTACAAATATAGAGAAAAGAGCCTCACATTCTCCCCCTTTAGATTGAGGATTTTGTAGTGGTAATTTAATGATACTGGGAGTTTTTCATCTGAAATACTCAAGCTGTTTATTGTTGTTGTCAGTAAAATAAGAATTTGGCCAAGAACCTATGTTTTTTGGGAAAATTTCTATATCATAATACTTTGGATATTTTTACATCATGGTTTTTCCACCTTGGCATTGTTGACATTTTGGGCCAGGTAACTATTTGGTGTGGGGGTTCTCTTGTGCACTGTGGGATGTTTTTCCGCATCCTTATCCATGAGATTCTAGAAGCACTCCCCAGTTGGGACAATCAGAAGTATCTTCAGACTCTGCCAAATGTTTCCTGAGACAAAATTGCCCCTAGTTGAGAATCACTGGTTTAAATATTTACTTTTTAAACTTAGTTATCCATTAAGGCTTATGTGAGTTATAGAAGTATAAGCTTTCTTGGACAGGGACAGAGGGAATATTTTATCTTTATATTTTTACTCCTAAATCTTCCATGAGCCATGAATGACTAATAGTGCCTAGACATTGAGCTTAAAACACTTAAATGGTGAGACAGCCAGAAATTGTGAACTTAATTTTGTGTGTGATTTTTCTGCCTTTCTTAGTGCTCTTATTTTAGTTTTGGAACAATTTTATCTAGAGGGCTAAATATTAATGCAAAGATCCTGAAAGGATAACATTCTTCTGTCACTGTTAAGGGCTGATGTTAAACTCCTGATAAGCAGTAGATACTCTTAGATGATTTACATATATTATTTCACTTAATTTTCACAGCCTTTCTACAAGTAGGAGTTAATCTTCTGTATTACTTACTCAGGATTGTTGTAAATGGTAGATTTGAGATTTGAATCCAGGCACATCTGTTCTCAAGCTTATTTCAATGCTGCTTCCTGTAAATAGTCATTTACAATATTTCAGACAAATTTTGGAATGAAAATTCACATGATATCACATTCCTCTGTTGTTATGTAAAAGTAACAGATTATTCAGAGAATGGGCTTTGTGTGTGTGTGTGTGTGGGGAGAGATAGAGAGAGAGAGAGAGAGAGAGAGAGAGAGAGAGAAAGAGGTCAATATTGGGATAATAATAGCAATAATTAATACTTATTGAGCATTTATGATATGTCAGACGCTGCTTTTAGTAAACCTTATAATTTGATAATGGATCATCCTTATTATCCTTGTTAGCTGGATCATCCTTAATATTGTTTTACAAAAACAGAAGACTTAGGCACAGAGGTGAAGTAATTCATTCAAGGTCAAGCTGCTGCTAAGTAGTAGAGCCAGGATTATAACCAAGGTAGTGTATACAGCTCATAAATTGAATGGTCTTTATTATTAAGGGCAAAATAGTTCTGATAGAACAAATTATGGTGCTAGTCCTTGGTTATAACTGAACATATGTTCTAGGCTGCAACTTCTTATTATGCGAAAATCAACTTACTGCATAGACCAGCGGTTGCCAGCCAGGGGTCCACAGACCACTGGTGGTCTGTGAGGTCCTAAAGGTTGGTGACCGCTGGCATAGACCACATCTCTAGAAAGTGATTGTTGTACCAAGTTATAGTGAAGGGTTTTTGTAAACATGATAGAAGGTAGTTTTATATTTTGCAACCTCTAGAAATTTGTAGCTCATGAAAACCTAAGCCGGTCTAGGTTAGTGTACATCAGTGGTTCTCAACCTTCCTAATGCCGTGGCCCTTTAATACAGTGCCTCATGTTGTGGTGACCCCCAATTTCGTTGTTACAAATTGAACATAATTAAAGCATAGTGATTAATCACAAAACAATATTTAATTATATATGTGTTTTCCAATGGTCTTAGGCGACCCCTGTGAAAGGGTCGTTCGACCCCCAAAGGGGTTGTGACCCACAGGTTGAGAACTGCTGGTGTACATCATACCAATATTTACTTTCAAACTGATGTTCTCTCGCCCTGGCCAGTTTGGCTCAGTTGGTAGGAGTGTCGTCTTGAGAATAACCTTTGATATACTGTTTGCTGAATTCCTTTTTGTGGAGTAATAAATGGTACTACATGATTGAGTTATCTTTCTCTGATACTTTTGAGTTTTGAAATGAAACTTGGGTGGTTTTTGTTTAGTTTACATTTAGAATATTTTGAATGGCAAAGCAGACAGCAGTAATATTCTCAGATAGGAGCAATAATGTCTAAATACTATTGTCAATAAACTAAGTTGAGCATATTTAATTTGGCTGCAAAGGCCATTTATAATTTGTAAAGTTCACTTAGTATAGGAAATTGGCATTAAAATTCGGAGCTTGAAGATAGGATAATTTTAATTTGCTTGCAGTTTTGATCCTTTGCTGGCTGGGATGCTTTCATTCTTAGTCTGTTCTTACATTCTGTTCTGTGTTTTTCTGTTTTGTTTTGTTTTGTTTTTTCTGGCACACTTTTATGCAGGGCCTTGTAAGATTTAGGGAGTGGATTCTGGACCATCTGGCTCTTTAGAGTAGTTCAGAAACTTTATTTACTGTATTTTGAGCCAGACTTGCTTGAAATGACTTGATTTGTCTCTGTGCTTGGCAGATTTTTCTTTTATACTTCCACAATTTTTTACTAATAATTTCTTCCTTATTTTAACACAGAAATTTTACCAGTATTTTTATGTTACGTGGACAAGATTTACTTTTTCTTATAACCTCATCAGAAAAACTCATAATGAAACTTCGTAAAGCATTCTATTTTTAAAATTAGTGTATATAATTGACATGACTTGTATACTTATACATGTTTAATATATTTAAAATGTTTAAAAATTGAATATTTTTAGGTACTAATTTATAGCTTTCATTTTGAGGCTAGGAAAGGAAAAGTATATTCTGCAAAATTATAAATTTACTGAGTTAATTCCTAGTACTAGTTTAAAAATATTCCATGTGTCAAAATTAATGATAATTTTTAAAACTATATCTGAATTTAGAAATATGAGCCATCAAACAACTTTAAGAAGTACTAGAGGTACTGAATTTATAAAATGTTTAAAAATTGTTTAGGTGTTAAGAGACTTTCTTTGAGCTTCCTGCCCTATTGTTTGTTTAAAAATTTTAAACTTTTTAAACAGCGTTATTGACATATAATCTGCATGTAATAGAACTTATCCATTTAAAATTTACAATTCAGTGTTTTTTAGTTTATTTATAGAGGTTGCAGTCATCAGCACAGTTAATTTTAGAGCATTTTTATCACCTTACAAAGGACCCTGTTTTCCATTTATATATATATTAGAAGCCCAGTGCACGAAAGTCATGCACTTGGGGGGATCCTCAGCCCAGTCTGCACCCTATCGCAGTCCGGGAGCCCTCGGGAGATGTCCGACTGAGGGCGTAGGCTCATTCCCCATGGAGAGCAGGCCTAAGCTAGCAGATGGACATCCTTAGTGCTGCCAGGGAGGTGGAAGAGGCTCCTGCCACTGTACTTGCCAGCCATGAGCCTGGCTTCTGGTTGAGCAGTGCTCTCCCTATGGGAGTGCACTAACCACCAGGGGGCAGCTCCTGCTTTGAGCATCTGCCCCCTGGTGGTCAATGCATGTCATAGCGACCGGTCATTCCCCTATTTGGTTGATTTGCATATTGGCCTTTTATTATATAGGATTTAATTTTGTTCAACTGATTTAATTTTCATATTCATTGCAAGTTTATAACAGTACAATTAATTTTTATATATTGATCTTATACCCTGCATGTTTGCTGAACTCATTTATTCTATTAATTTTTTTAGTTGGTTTCTTAGGATTTCCTATATATAAAATCATGTCATCTGAGATAGTTTTATGTTTTTCTTTCCTATCTGGATGGATGCCTTTTGTTTCTTATTCTTGTTTACTTTTCTTGGCTAGAACCTCCAGTTCAATGTTGAATAGAAGTGTCTAGAGTGGACACTTGTTCCTAATCTTTAGGGAAAAGCATGCATATATTCAGTACTTGGAAGATGCCTAGTTTTGCCATTGATATTCAGGAAACAGTGTTATTTGAAAGAGGTTTAATTCACATTTTGGTTATGTAGCTCAGGGGTTTTTGAACATGACTCTGTACTATCAGTATCACCTGAATACTTAGAAAGGCAAATTCTTAGACCTCACTTCAGTCCTACTCTGAATCAGAATTGGAAACTTTGGGGTGGGGGATTTACTTAGCTAGTTGCTTGGTAAATGTGGTTCATATTTTTAAGAAACTAATACTACTAATGAGTAACACAAACAGGGTTTTAAGTATATGAAGCATGTAATATTCACAAAGATGAGTTATAGTAGGTATTTTCTGCTTCCTTCCTCCCTTCTTTCCTTCCTTTTTTCCCCCCTTCCTTCCCCCCCCCTTTTTTTAAAACATGTCGAAACAACCCAGAGAAGTTGGCAATTTTCAGTGCTTTTGGGTAGTGGTTACTAGTAAAAGAGTGAGCCTTGGCATTGTACTGCATCGCTTGGAATTTAGTTCTGCCATTTATTTACTAGCTATGTGAATTTGGGCATTTATTTAATCTGTGTTTCAGGTTCTTCATGTGTAAAATGAGAGTTTAAAAATAAGAGTATCTACTTTAGAGTTGTCAAGATTCGATGAGATAATATAAGTAAAGTGCTGATAATAGTGCCTGGCCCATAAGTGAGTCCTTAGTAAATATAAATATTTGCTATTACAATTATTATTGACCAAGGACACCAACATGGCCCATTTCTCCTGTCTTTCATTTATATGTGTTTCTTGCTGTGCCTGAATTTCTTTTCCTCTCCTTTGCTTCATTCATTTGACAAATATTGGGTACCCACTATCTGCAAAGCACCGCTGTCTATACTATTACATACATAGTGAGTAAGACAAAGTCACTGGCCTCCTTCTAATAAAGGAAACCAACAGAAACAAACAGATATAAATGTCAGATAATGAGAAAAGCTAGGAAGAACAATAAAGCAGGAAAAGGGAAGAGAATGCTTATAAGATTTTACTTTAGATAGGGTGGTTAGAAAGACCCCTCTTAGGTTACATTCGATCAGAGATTTGAATGAAATAAGAAGTGATCCATATGAGTGTCTATGGATGTGTTCCAGATAGAGGCAACAGCAAGTGCAGGGTCCTTAAGATAGGAATGCACTTTGCAGTTGCTTGGTTGCTTCCTGTTAGACTTGTTAGTGGCAGGTGGCTCTTTTGGTTGGAGTGCCTTCCTGTACACCAAAAAAAAAAAAAAAAAATAAAAAAAAAAAAAAAAAAAAAAAAAAGACTTGTAAGAGACTTCCTCAGTTTTTCCCATCTTAATTTTAAATTGATTTCAGAGAGGAAGGGAGAGAGATAGAAACATCAATGATGAGAGAAAATCACTGATTGGCTGCCTCCTGCACACCTCCTACTCGTGAGTGATGGAGCCCACAACCCGGGCATGTGCCCTTGGCTGGAATCGAACCGGGGACCCTTCAGTCCACAGGCTGACGCTCTACCCACCGTGCCTAACCGGCCAGGGCTCCCATCTTAATTTGTTGTATAATAATTCTGACATGACTTTTCTTCTTCTGTCTCCCTCAGGTATCTCTGATACCATAGCATCTGTGTTTGCTCTCTCTTATTGCATTTAACCACAACTATTTTTATTGTTTGTTTTCCCCACTATCCTCAATTCTCAAATGTGAGAAATTGTAGTTTGTTATTTTAATACTAGAGGCCCGGTGCACAGATTTGAGCATCAGTGGGATCCCTCAGCTTGGCCTGTGCCCTCTCGCAATCTGGGACCCCTCAGGGATGTCGGACTGCCAGTTTCGGCCTGATCCCTGCAGGCCAGGCCGAGGGACCCCAATGAATCCATGCACTGGGCCTCTAGTATGCATATAAGATCTTTGGTTAATCTCTTCCTGCCCTCTCCTATCCCCTTCCCTCTGAGCTTCATCAGTCTGTTCTATGTTTCCATGCCTGTGCGTTGAGCATCTGCCCCTGTGATCAATGAGCATCAAAGCTACCAGTTGAACGGTCGCTTAGGCTTTTATATTTATAGGTTCTCAGTATCTTGACACACAGATGTACAGTAGTAGTCCCCCTTATCCACAGGGGATACATTGTACCAGTATACGTAGTAGATGCTTGAAATGACAGATTGTACTAAACCTTACATATACTATGTTTTTTCCTGTACACAAATACTTATAATAAAGTTTAATTTGTAAATTAGGCACAACAATAACTAATAATAAAATAGAGCAATTATAACCTCATACGGTGATAAGAGTTATGTGGTCTCTCTCTCCCAAAATATTTTATTGTACATACAGTGTGGATATGATGGACAAAGGGATGATTCACATCCCAGGCAGACTGGAGCAGAATGGCACAAGATTTCATTACACTACTCAGAATGGTGCACAATTTAAAACATGAATTTTTCATTTCTGGAATTTTCCATTTAATATTTTGAACAGTGTTTGACCTTTGGTAACTAAAACTGTGGGAAGATTCCAAGGATATAAGGAGTAGTTTCCCTTCTAGTTCCTCAGCTCTCTTGAAAATGGAGTATTAGAAAGGTGAATTCTAAATAGCTTAATTTTTGCGTGTTAATATTTCAAAAATATTTGAATGGCAAATTATCCAGAAAATCATGTGCATCATAACACTATTTTTTTTGGTATGTTCACTAGTACTGAATTGTTACTCCTTGTCTTACATTTTTAGAGAGCAAAACTAAAAAGATTTTGAGTGGTTTATTTGAAAGAATGAAATCTGTTCCATTGTCTCCTTTTCACCTCCTAGAGTTCTATATTTGTTTGCCATTATACACAGTGTTATTTCTGTCTGGATTGCCACTTTCTGTCTACTTCACAGTGGTCTTCAACATGACCTTTTCATGGGAAGTTTCAAAAAGTTGTACTCATACACCCTTCACCAGTTGTCCCTAACTATAACACCCCCTAACCTATAGTATAAGATCAAAACCTGGAAATTGATATTGGCACATTCACAGACCCTATCAAATACTTATTTGTGGTTTTGTATGTATATACTGTGCATGTGCAATTTTACCATGTATGGATTCATTTAGCTATAACAACAATTAAGATAAACTGTTTCATCACAAAGATCTTCTATGCTACTCCTTTATAACTACTCCCTTCGTCATTTTATTAATTTATTCACTGGTTATTCTTTGTATCATTTGATCTTGTGATTAATGGAAAAAGATCGCATTATGTTTTAGAGAATGCCTTTCTATTTTTACCTTTTTTCAACATTGTACTCTAACCATTTACAATAAGCCTAATACTAAAGTTTCAGTTCATATTGTGTACTATACTAGAATCAAAGGCTCTTGAAGTCATATAGTGTAGCATCTTCCCCTCCACAAAATCCCCCCAAAATGAAATTAGAAAATTTATATGAAGCAACTCAACATTCATTTATCAACCTATGAATTTCCAATAACCAGGGTCTCCTTTTTTTTTTTTACTACCTGGTACACTTTGGGGTTAGATTACCTATGTGTTAACTTTTGCTAGATTATGCTGCACTTAGAAATAACTCCAAATATCAGTGTTTACAATAACAAAGATTTATTTATTGTTCACATTATAGGTTCTCTAGTAATCTATTATGGTTCTACTCCGCAATTCTTTTTCATTTCAGGATCCAGGATGAAGGAGCACCCCCTATTTATGACATACTGTTCTCTTGGCAGAGAGAAAAGAGCAAGAGCTGGTGGAAACTCACAAAGCTCTTAAAACTTCTACTTGGAACTGGAACTTTCTCATATTTCATTGGCCAAAGTAAGTCACATGGCCAAGCCAACAATAGGGTATCCACAGAGAGGCACTACAAGTCACATGGCAACAGGGAGGGTTGTTAATATTCTTATAAAAGGAGAATAAATGATTAAGAATTATAATACAACCTACCAGACTGTAGGATGATATACTATGCTCTACTTTTGTAATAAACTTTTTTTTTAGTAAAGTTTATTACACTTTACATGACTTTTCTTAATAAAATTAGCAGCCTCCCATCCCCTTTTACTTTGTGGCAACTGATAAGAATTTATGATAGTTAATGATAAATAATTACTTTAAAATTCTAATAACATTAGTATTTTAAGAGGTCAGAATTTGATTTTACAACTTTAAGTTTTCCTTGTCAAAAATTCATATGCAATTTTGCATACTGATTTAAAATTTTTGGAGTTTCATATTTTCCTCCAATTTGAAAATAGCTTTATTGTTTTACTTATAAAAGCAGGGCATGCTTATTATAAAGAAAAGTTTTCAGGGAATACAAAGTAATGTAAAGAATGTAAAAATAATTATAATCCCATTATCCAGACATAATTACTGTTAGCATTTTGGCTGTACCTTTCACATTTTTTCCTCTGTGCATTCATTATGTGTGTTGTGTATTTGTGATTTTTTAAACTCTAAAATGGTTATATTTCAGTTTAAAAAAACCAATTTTATTGAAACACACAAAAAACATTCTTTGATCATTTTGCTTGATGAGTGAATTGGCAATTTAAATGGCTGTTTCCATTCTCACTTAGCTGTATCGTATAAGTATAGTAATCAGCACAAGGTGTACTTTAGATTAGAATACTTTAATGAGCCCAGGCCTTCTCAAATGTATTTGTGTAGTAACCCAACGAGTTTGTAAGGTGGTGATTAATAAGGTAGTATGGAACTCAGGATTTCTTACTACTAGTATGTATGTGTTTTTTGGGGGACACTAAAAATTCAACTGGATTGTATTTAAAAAGTAGCTCAGTATTGCCTGGCCAGTGTCAGTGGTTGAGTGTTGACCTATGAACCCGGAAGTCATGGTTCCATTCTGGGGCAGGGCACATGTCTGGGTTGCAGGCTTGATCCCCAGTAGGAGGCATGCAAGAGCAGCCAATCAATTATTCTCTCTCATCATTGATATTTCTTTCCCTCTTCCTTCATCTCTGAAATAAAAAAAACATATATTAAAAAACAATTAGCTGATTATTTAGGGAACACATTTCATTTACTTTCTCTAGCAGAAAATTTACACCTCTACCTGTAATTTTTCATTGAAACTGGGCCATTTTTGAGAATGAAAAAGACATTATATTTTCAATTCTGTAAATTAAAAAAAAATACTTCATTTTTGGCCATCAAAATGGTTTCATTACATTGGTAGATCAGAAAAACAGTTCTATTCAAGGTTTGTTTTCAAAAATTAAAATTAAAACATTTGTTCTGTATTACAACAAAATAAAGTCTTTACATAGGTTATCAGAATATCAGATTTCATAAGCAGAATAATTATTCTTGGTAATAGTCAGATTTTAAATCAGTTTCTTAGTTATATCTGTCTCTAATACTTTTCTGAACAATGTAATTATTTTCCAATATAGTTTAACTAGTTCTAATTTTTTCATAAAACTGCCTGCAGTATTTTTCAGTTACATTTTATTGTGGTTGTTAACCCTTACAGTTGACTCTTCTCTGTAACTGGTAATATTTTTAATTGCTAATATGCTTTCTGTACACATTATACCTGGTTAGTTCAGGAAAATTTTTACTAAATGGAGAATATTCTTAATTCTAATTTTTTTCTTACTGAAAACTATAAAATTATCAGCCCTAATATTTTCACAGGCAATGTCTTTTTGCCTCTACTAAAAGTACTCTTTTTGACAAATATTTTTAGAAGATAAATCTTTTCATATAAGTTGTCCCTACATATGATTATTTTACATGTTCCATAAAATTTAGATGCTGTAAAATTGTAGGCTTTCTGTAATTTCATTTCAATACAGAGTATAAATTTTTTCAGCTAAAAATAGAAATAGTCTTTTGCTGGAATTTCTACAATTTATTACAAAGTATAATTATAGAATTTCAAGATTCAGTCTTTTATACTATTTGAGCTCTCACTATTTAATTTATTCAGTTCTTTCTTTGCTTTTTTTAATTTTACTGATTTTAGAGAGAAGGGAGAGAGAGAAACATCAACATGAAAGAGAAACATCAATCCGTTGCTTCCTGTACACACCCTGCTTAGGGATCAAACCCACCTTTTGGTGTATGGGATGATGCTCCAATCAACTGAGCCACATAAGCTAGGTGTTTCCTTGATTTTAAGGGATGCATTTCAGTGTTTTGGCAAATGTAGTTTATAATAATTGCTATTTGCTAAAAGCTTCAAAGCTAAATTTTTTTGGAGCATTATTCATTGAACTTAATCTTTGATTAAAGATTTCCAACTGATTTTGAACAAATGCAATCAATTTTTAGACTTGTTTTCAAGCACATTCAATACTAATTTGCAATGTTAGTGTTTCAAAGATTCCAGTCTTTAAAATCTGATGATACCTTGCAAGTAGAGCATACAATATTGCCATGTTGTTGTTTTTTGTATTTGATAATTTTTTTTGTCCTTAACAGTTTAACTGTGGATATGTGAAAACATTTGTAAATGTTGATAATTACAGCTAACTTGTTAACAGTGATGTCACTAGAGCTCCATTTTAAATAGAAATAGCCTCAAAAGTTTTATGCAAATTGTCTATCTGCTTTCTACAGAAATAGAAATTTAGTACTTAATTTTGTTTTAAATATACAATTTCTTCATTTTTGCTTATTGCTATGGAAAGGGTATAGTAGATAAAAAAAATGATTGCCAAACAACAAGATAAATAAGCAGTTGTAGATTTATGCTCTACAATAAATTTAAAAAACCACAAAACCAACTCAAGAGTTATCAGACCTGACTCCTCCCACCTAACCTGGAATTCCCCACTGACAGCAGCTGGTGGCCTGGTGCATCTTGCAGGTCATTGAACACCACATAGCCAACAGGAGCACCAGTGTCAAATACTTTTCCTACTGTCTGGAAAGGCTGTAAGCAATTAGCAGTCCCTGGTTGCTTGCATCTGAAGATACCCAGTGGGTCTTCTGCATGCTATCCTTGAAAAGAAAGAGTTAGTTATGTTATATCTGTAGAGTCAGGAAAAGAAAGATGAAATTATCACTAGTTCTTTTTGAGATTTCATCACTTGTTCAAGTGATTAAAGCACTTACACATGATTAGCTGATATCTTTGCCAGAAGCTAGATGTATACAGTTAGAAGTGTACTGAATCCATCTTGGCTTATTTTAATATAGTGATTAATAATAATTGTTCATTTAAGAAAATGAGAAATCTGAGACAAATGGTAAACTGGATGGGATACTGGGACAGCATATTGTAAATTAAGACCTTCCGAGCAAACCATGGCATATGAGAAGGCAGCATGCTGTTGTGAAAGAGCATGGAGCTGGGAGTGGGACACACCTGCATTTAAGTCCAGTCTCTGCCATTTAAAAGCTTGGACAAGTAACCTCTTTGAGACTAGTTATATTAGGGTTTCAACAGAGACAACAGGGAATGCACAGGCGCGCGCACAAACACACATACTGATTGGTTTTAAGGAATTGGTTCGTGTGGAGGCTGGCAAGTCCTAAATCTGCAGAGCAGCCAGTAGGATGGGGACCCAGGGGAGAATTAATGTTGAGAGTCTGAAGACATCTGGAGACAGAATTCCTTCTTCCTCAGGGGACCTCATTCTTCTTAAGGCTTTCAACTGATTGGATGATACCTACCCACATTATGGAGAGTAATTTGCTTTACTCAGCCTACTGATTTAAATATTAATCATATTCTAAAAAAATACCTTTACAGTAACATCTAGACTGGTATTTGACCAAACAACTGGGTACCATAGCCTAGCCAAATTGACACATATAATTAGCCTTCATATTAGGTTTCCTCATTTGCAAACTAGGATGATATGTGGCTCGCAAGGATTAAGTGTGTAAGTATTTCTAAAGTACTTTGCATAATATGTTCTCAAAGTAGGCACTTGGTGAATGTTGGTTTCTTAATCCAGTCTTGTACCCATTAAGACTATAGGCCATGAAAAATAAAAGCCCAATCTTGATGCTTAAAAATATTTTTCTCTATGTATCTTTGTATTTCTAACTAAGCTTTTCCTGCCCCCTCATCTATTTAATAAGCCCTGACAAATCTATCTTATAAACTTTTCTTCAAAGCATATCCTTCTTTTTTTGCTATTACCAGTGTTTGGGTCCTTCCCTGAGCCATTAAATTTATTTCCTAAGTAGCAGTGTACATTCCATTGTACTCTTCCTTTTCACATATAACTAATCACCTAGAACTAATACTAAGTAAATAACTCCTGAATTTGTCCCCTTTTTCTATCCTCCTTTACTTTTACCATGCAGATGAAGCCCTTCATAAGTTGTCTTAAACAAAACTTTATAACCTTGTGCTTACTTTGTACCACTATTCAGAACTACTTGTGATTCTTTTCAACACAATTGAGCTTTCTGTTGCATGCATGCCTCTGTGCATGCTATTACTTGTGTATAGAATCACCCGCTCCCCCAACTCGTACTTCAAATTCCTGCACCGATATCACCCTCATAAAGCCATCCTGGACTCCCTTCCTGGTTCCAGAACACTCTTACACATTCATGTATAGGTGAACTTGTGCCTTCAAACATTGATACTCCTAAATTGCGTTTCAAGTGAGATGATAAGTCTGTTCATCAGATGACCAAGGAACCCTTTGAACTGTGGTATGAATTGAATAGCACTCCCTGACGACAGGCATTTCTCATCTGCTGATAGTATCATCTTTTTGTACATCCATTGGTGTATTCATTTTATTATTTTACTAGAGGCCCGGTGCACGAAATTCATGCACGAGGCGGGTGTCCTTCAGCCTGGCCTGCACCCTCTCCAATTTGGGACTCCTCGGACATCCCTCTCACAATCCAGGACCGCTGGCTCGTAACCGCTCATCTGCCTGCCTGCCTTATTGCCTCTAACTGCTTCTGTCTGTCAGCCTGATTGCCCCCAAACCGCTCCCCTGCCAGCCTGATTGATGCCTAACTGCTCCCCTGATGGCCTGATTGTTCCCAACTGCCCTCTCCTGTCGGTCTGATCGCCCCCAACTGCCCTCCCCTGCTGGCCCGATTGCTCCGAACTACCCTCCCCTGCTGGCCCGATTGCTCCGAACTACCCTCCCCTGCCAGCCTGATCGCCCACAACTGCCCTCCCCTGCCAGCCATTTTGTGATGACGTAAGGGCGTCACGTGAGGGTGCAAGAACCACCTAGGTTTTTATTAGTATAGATTGATGTGGTGTTTGAATTGTATTTATAGGTACTTTGGGCACTTGGGTATAGGGCCGGGGTGGGCAAACTTTTTGACTCGAGGGCCACAATGGATTCTTAAACTGGACTGGAGGGCCGGAACAAAAGCATGGATGGAGTGTTTGTGTGAACTAATATAAATTCAAAGTAAACATCATTACATAAAAGGGTACAGTCTTTTTTTTTTTTTTTTTTAGTTTTATTCATTTCAAACGGGCCGTAGTTTGCCCACGGCTGGTATAGGGTGACTGCTTAAGGCTTTGGGCCTTTTAACTTTAAGCATTTCACCCCTAAATTGTTATATGTTGGGTTCTGGGTAAAATTTTGCATGAAGAAATGAGTTTTGATGTCAAGAGTAATTTAAAAATTCTTGTTTTATTTCTTGTATCTGATTCTTAGTAATCTATATGGCTGCCTTTATTCACTCCCACTTCCCTCCCAAAAGAAACAAAACTAACTTTTTGAAATTAAGAATATTTTAATCCTGTTTATCTTTATTTTTCAAATATCTATTGAATGAATGCAAGTATATTAATAGAAGTTATTGAATAGAATTTAATTTCTATTTTTTTATTTTTATTTTTTTAGTTATCAAGTGGGAATCCTGTATATGAAAAATACTATAGACAGGTAAGATTTTTGTTTGTCTTAGATTGAACATAAAATATACTTTTACCTCGATTGTATACATGCAGATTACCAGTCAGCTGGATAAACTTGACATGTCTTATTTTCAACATTTTGTGCCTTAGCCTCATGTTTTGAGTACTTAATACTTTTGACAAGCTCTCAGAAATGAAGGAAAGATAATTAAGGCCAAACACTTAATTGTCTCAAATATTTATCTATCTTAAAAATCCATATAACACCCTAACTGGTTTGGTTCAGTGGCTAGCACGTCGGCCTGCAGACTGAAAGGTCCCAGGTTCGATTCCGGTCAAGGGCACGCACCTTGGTTGCAGGCACATCCCCAGTGGGGGGTGTGCAGGAGGCACCTGATCAATGTTGCTCTCTCATAGATGTTTCTGACTCTCTATGCCCCTCCCTTCCTCTCTGTAAAAAATAAAATATATTTTTTTAAAATCCATATAACATTAGATGCATTCATCTCAATATAAATATCCATATTAATATAAGTCAAATGAAAATGACTTTTAGTTGTTTTTAAGACTTATTAAGGTTTTTAATATTTATAAAGTTAAAACCATGACTCATACAAATGTAAAATGAACATGTGTCAAGGATTTTATTCAACTCATTAATTACTGGGATAACTAGTAAAATGTAAAGATGAGAATATGAGTTACAGAGATTTATATTCTCCAGACAAAATTCATTTTATTGGTATGGACAGGATTCACTTGCATTGCTATCAATTTTTTTTTATAATTTAACCTACAGATTGTAAAATAGCCTAGTTGATGGAAAGTTAATCAACTATAGATCAAACAATCTCCTGAGGGTGTAGACAATGTCATTTGCCCATTACCAAATATTGGATAATTTTTCCTAATAATCCTTTCATCTTGGGATCATAATCGCTGAAAAGGCTGGTCTCTATATTTGACCTGGCTATTTACATAGTTAGAGTCTGTACTTGTGGGAGTCACCACGTGGGAGTCTGTACTTGTTCTTCAATAAATCTCCACCTTTGTTATAAACAAACAAAAACATTAATGAACTATTATAGGTCTCCTTGTTGTGTGACTTGCAAATCTAGAGCCATACATTCACTATTTAACAACTTCTAAGGCTAGAGACTAAATTTTCCTTAACATTTTTAAAGAATCTCAGATTGTACTTTATAAAGCCTCTTTATTTGTGCCTCAATTTTGAGGCTAGGATCCCAACCTTAGAAATCTACCTCCTCCCCTGCCCCCCCTCCCATATTTCACTGGCAGTACATGCAAGTATGAGTGAATTTATCTCATCTTGAGGTTTTCCATATCTGCTGAAGTTCCTAGTCTGTGAGGTGACATTGCTTTACTCTCTGAGAAACTGACACCTTATAAATCAAGTTGCAGGCCATTTTTGGGGGGAGGACTTTGTAGACATTGACTTCACATAAAGTCAGTTCTTATTCTTTAATAGTGGCTTGTTCTGTCTGAATAAAATAATGACCTTGTTTTGTACAATTGAATTTCTCAATTATACTCTGATAATAAGGAGACCAAATTTTTATTTAACTTATGTAAAAATTACTCTATTGCCATAAAAAGTAAGGATACTCACTTAAAGGATTTTAATTTTTACCGCTGCTGCACTCGCCAGCCATGATCCCGACTTCTGGCTGAGTGGCACTCCTTTTGTGGAAGCACACTGACCACCAGGGAGCAGCTCCTGCATTGAGCGCCTGCCCTGGTGGTCAGTGCGCATCATAGCAACCGGTCGTTCTGTCATAGGGCCGAAACTGGCTCTCCTACATCCCCTGAGGTGTCCTGGATTGCGAGAGGGCTCAGGCCAGGACAAGGGACCCCACTGGTGCACAATCGGGGTGGGGGAGGGACCATGGGAGGGTCCAGAACATGCCCAGCCTATCTCGCTCAGTCCTAATTGGCCGGACTCCAGCAGCAAGCAACCTACCAGTCGGAGCATCTGCCCCCTGGTGGTTAGTGCACATCATAGTGACTGGTCAGCCGGTCGACTGTCTGCCCCCTGGTGGTCAGTGCATGTCATAGTGACTGGTCAACTGGTTGACTGTCTGCCCCCTCATAGTCAGTGCACATCATAGGGAGTGGTTGCGTGGCCTTAGCATATCATTAGCATATTATGCTTTGATTGGCTGAATAGATGACTGGACAACCGGACACTTAGCATATTAGGCTTTTATTATGTAGGATGTTTTTATTAATTTGAGACAGAGAGGACTGGAGATGGGGGAGGAGGGGCGTGGAGAGAGAGAGAGAGGAAAACATTGATGCAAGAGAGAAATACTGATTGGCTGCCTCCTGTAGGCCCCCTACTGGGGATCCAACCCACAACCTGGGCCTATGTCCTCACTTAGAATCAACTAGTGACCTTTCATTGCCCACTGGACAACACCTAACTGAGCCACATGTCCAACTGAGACACAGCGGCTGGGGTAAAGGACTTGTTTTTGAATTCTGAAGAGTCAGTGAAATCAGAGACTACTGAAAACTATTTCATTCACTTTACAAATACAGAGCCTGTTAAATTGAGGGTGAGAGATAGGGTAAGAGGGCAAAAACTGCTTTCCCATATATCCATTACAAAATACAATATTAAAAATAATGCCAACAGTATTCTAAGTAAATAACCATAATTACATTTTTCTTACCAGTTCATTCAGTCCTATATAATTCTTGTTCTCCTTCATCTTGGATCAGGGGTCTGTTTTTATAAAATACTAGAGGCCCGGTGCATGAAGTTCATGCACGGGGATGGGAGGTATTCCCCTCAGCCTGCCTGCCTGATGGCCCTAACTGCTCTCCCCTCCTGCCTGATCCCCCTAACTGCTCTCCCCTCCTTGTCTGATCCCCCTAACTGCCTGTCTGCTCTCCCCTCCTGGCCTGATTCCCCTAACTGATCCCCCTAACTGCCCATCTGCTCTCCCTTCCTCTCTGCGCCTTCAGACCTCAGTGCAGGAGTGCTGAGAGCTCTCTGCTGAGGCCCCCACCCCTGTCCTCTCTACCCCCTCTGGGCCAGGCAGTGCCACGGGCCTGTGTGCGCCTCTGCCTGGGGAGCCACCACAGCCCATCCTGACGCCCACCTCCAGGCAGGCAGCGCAGCGGGCCTGCACATGCCTCCTCTTGGGGGCCGCCACGGCCCGTCTTGATGCCCCCCTCTGGGCTGGGCAGCATGGCAGGCCTGCGTGTGCCTCTGCTGGGGGGTGAGGGGCACCTCCAGCGGCAGCCTCATGTCCTGGTGGCACAAGTCTCCATCCCCGCCCACCAGATCTTGTGCACACGCAGCCTGTTGAACGGTAGTGACTGGGACACTGTTAGGACCAATTAGTATATTACCTCTTTATATATATAGATATGTATTTCTAGACTGCAAAGAGTCCTGGAAATTCTAACTCTCCACCAGTACAGTCTGAAAGTTGTTTAAGGGATATCAACTCAGAAGACTTTACCCAAAAATCTATATTTTGAAGTGTTAACAATTCAGAGAACACGATATGGTTGTTTAGATGAGGCTCTTGAGAGTTTGTTGAAGACATAATTGTATCTGGTAGCTTATGGTAAAGCTTTTAGGCAAGCATCTGAGTACAACAGAAACCACCTATGTATGACCATGACTAAACAGCTGCATTTAATTTATTAGAGTAACAAAAGGATAGAGATAGTAAAATTCTTAATTGGAATATAGTACACAAATATTTCATAAGAGATCGATTAATGTTTTCCCTGAGTGCTTCTATATTTAGACTATGCTGGGGTAGGTGTTCTCTCCTCACCCCCGCCCCCACCCCTCCCATGGTCAGAGAGTGGGGAAAGAAAAGGAATTCTGGAAAATTCTTGAGGCAGGTTTCCCAGCTCTTATTGTACTTCTTTGTTACCCCACATTTGGATTGGGTAGTTCCTTCTTTTTTGCTGAGCACTTGAAAGAAAGGATTTCTCTTTTGCTTCATTGCTGGGATTGGCTTATCTGAATGCTTTGTATATGTTTGCAACAAACTTATTAGTCTTTTAAGTAAAGTTGCAAAACAGCTCATAAATATTGTAGTATCATGTTATCTTGCCCATACCTTTTTAAAACTTGCTTTTTATTTTTACAAATTGAACTTTACTTCAGGAAATCTTTGCAGAAGTGAGTGTCATTTTTGTAAAACTGTTTTTATGTTCTTGGTGACCTCATTCTGTCTTAAAGGAAAGTCCCCCTTAGTTGAAATGGTGTGTTAGCTTTAATGTGCTTTAGGAGCTTAACAGTTTTTTAAATGTTTCTTTAATTTTATTATGGAATCACTGCTGGTTTTGGAGCTGCTTTGATTTTTTAATAAAGTGTTGTAGTTCCTAACAGTAAGTATAAAAGCAGAAGTTAATGATTTTAAGGTGTTTGAAAAAACAGGTAACACATGCAGCTAAGACCTCTCCAGGAAATGCTTTTTTTCCCTCCTATTGCCATGTAACTTTATTAGAATTTAAAAGGCGCTATAGAAGAGTTGGAGTCAGGAGATAATGTATTAATGTTATGACTCCACTAATTTGCTCTACTTCCTTTGAGCTTCAGTTCTCTCATTTGTATAATGGACACGATAAAAAACATTTTGTAAATTGCCAATGCTATCTAGATGGTACTCTACTTATATGGCTATGCATATATTCTTCCACCTTGGTTTAGTCAAAGGATTCCCATTCCCTTTTTAAAAAAGCCAGTTCTCAAATTTCAGTAAGGAACACAAATAATTTTGTCTTTGTCAGCTTACCATTTGTATTTTTTTCAGGTTGATACAGGCAATACTGGAAGGGTATTAGCTTCTGATGCTGCTGCTTTCCTGAAAAAATCAGGGCTTCCAGACTTGATACTTGGAAAGGTAATGTTTATTTATTATAATTAGATTAAGGTGAATAGTTAGCAATGTAGATAAATTGGATACAAATTCAGAAAGATATCATTAAGAAACTTAGAAGTTAGAACTGGGTCATAGAGGCAGTTATAGTAATGCGATGGAGAGAATTTGAAAAGTAAGGTGTTTTTCAGATGTTTAGAAAACAAATTACATTTTAGTGGGATGAAATGAAGAAGTAATAGTACATTTGGGTATTGTGGGGAGAAACAGTGCTGCAGACTGGGAACCTTGCCACCCACTCAGAGAGTTGGCTCTATCTCTACTTCCTCTATTATAACTGTCTCCAACTGCACTTTGTATGTGGTGAATACAGTGGGGGATGAGAGGCTTAAGAGAAAGCACAAAAAGGTGGAAAGTCCCTCTGCCAGCTTGATCTCCTGGAAAGTCCTTATACATGATATGTATTAAAAACCCTGAAAAATTATCATTAATAATTTAATTATTCACAAATAAACAACTATTTCCACTTTCCCATAAGAAAAAATATCATCTTAGTAAGGATCTAAAATCAAAGTAGTATGTGTTAGTAAAAAGAGCAAGAGATTTGGAGTTAGAACCTGGGCTAATGAAAAAGGCATTGGATTGGAAGTTAGAGTCTGGGTTTCATTTCTTTCCATGATGCCTTAAATGTTCTTGAGTAACTTTAATGGCTTTAGTATTTGAACTAAATGCCTCTAGTATTTGAACTAAATTTAGTATTTGAACTAAATTTGAACTTAAGGTTTCTTTCCACTTTTAATTCTATAATTTTTAAATCTGATGACCAAAGAGCATGAGATTGTAAATTACAGGGAATTAATTTATTTTTAAGATGATTGTTGTTTAAAATATAGATTGATACTTTTTTTCCTCTGAATTTCAGATTTGGGATTTAGCTGACACAGATGGCAAAGGTATCCTGAACAAACAAGTAAGATTCAGAGATTCATATGAAAAAACTAGAGACCTGGTGCATGAAAATTCATGCACTGGAGGGGGATTCCCTCAGCCCAGCCAGCCCCCTCTCACAGTCCGGGAGCCCTCAGGGGCGGGAGGCAACCCGGTGATCAAGGGAAGGTGATGTCCCATCACACCTCTGCTGCTGCCACTGCCGGCAGCGCAAGCCATGGCCGGACCTGGTTACCTGAGCCTCGGGAGGCCCTGGGTGCCTGGGCAGCCAACATCTGAGTCTTGCTTGCATCTTGGGCTGGCCCTGGGCAGCTGGGGGGCTGAGGGGACTGGGCGCCGCCATCTTGTGGCTGTGGGCACCTCCATCTTAGAGGGTGGAGCAGTCAATTAGCATATTCCCTTATTGGCTGTGGGTGCTGCCATCTTTGCCACAGTGTGAGGATCAATTAGCATATTCTCTCTTTATTAGATAGGATTTTTAGTGATTCAGAATAAAAAAGAGCCAGCAGTTTTTTGTATATTTAAACTAAGGGTTGCTTTTTATCAACATTAAGGTTTTGCAAGGGCAAGTGTCATAACAATGAAAATATCCTCTGTAATAAAGAGTAATATGCAAATTGACTGTCACTCTGCCACAAAGATGGTGGCGCCCACAGCAGAGGCAGTGTTTCTGTAACATAAGATGGCTGTGCCCACAGCAGAGGCCGAGTTCCCGTAATGAGCCTTAACGAGCAATCAGCAGGGACCTGATTCTGCGCTCTCTCCGCCCCGTCCCCGTGGGGCTTGACTGGGGACCTCAGGCCACGTCCTCCCGCCTGGCAGAGTTTGACGGGGAACCTGAGGCTGCACCCCTCTCCCCCGCCCCCACCTGGCAGGGCTTGACAGGGGACCTTAAGGTGCACCCCCTACCTTAGGTTGTGCCCCCCACCCCGGTGCCAGGCTGGGGGACCTGAGGCCGCGCCCCCCACCCGGCGGGGCTTGACGGGGGACCTCAAGGCACTCCTCCCGCCCTGGTGCTGGGCCAGGGGATGTGAGGCTGTGCCTCCCCTGCCTGGCAGGGCTTGACAAGGGTGGGACCAGCTGGGTCTGGATCTAGCCCAAGGGCTGGAGGTGCGGCTGGGTCTGGGTCTTGCGTGATTTCAAGATGCCTGTGGGTGGGCAGGGACTTGACTCTGGGTCCTGCAGCGTGCCCCAGACTCTGACAGGAGGAAGATTTTCATATACATTTTACTAATTTTTTTTCATCTCTGACACTTGTATTAAAGAGAAAGGGCAAATGGCAATATCAAAATACTTCCTCTAATTAATCCCTTTTTAATGTGCATGAATTTTGTGCACCAGGCCACTAGTTTCTAATAAGACAATGAAAATATTTCTAATAAGTAGGCATTAAAGTAACTAATTCCCAAAGTTTAATGTTAGTTTGGTGACATTGTTCTACCGGAGTATCTTAGTCTGTTTGGGCTGCTATAACAAAATACCACAGAAATTTATAAACAAATTTATTGCTCATTGTTTTAGAGGCTGGAATTCTGAGATTAGTGTGCTAACATGGTCAGGTGAGGACTTTCTTCCTGATTGCAGACTTCTAGTTGTCTCTGCACATACCAGAAGGTGCTGGGGATCTCTCTGAAGCCTTTTTATAAGGCACTAATCCCATTAATAAGGGTTCCCCCTAATGGCTTACGCACCCCAAAGGCCCTACCTCCTAATACCTTTATCTTTGGGGGTTAGGCTTTGAACATAAGACTTTTGGAGGACACATCAGATAAATAGCTTGTTGTTTTTTTCAGTCATTCAGAAAGATTTTGCTCTTTGAATCTTAATTAATTGAATTTCTTACATGTACAGGGTTTATACATAAACATCGGTTAAGTGTTAGATGGTATGCCTCATACATTTGAAAGGAAATTCTTGGCTAATCAAACCTGAGTATTCTGGTCTAGATCTTACCACTGACTTATAAACCATAAAATGGTTTACAGGTTAGATGTAAATCCTAGACCAGGAATTTGTGAAAGTAGTTATTGGTGTTGGACACTATCAGTGTACTTTGAAGTTCTGATTGTTTGAGATGGATTTCAGAGTTCTTCAGGATTGGATCCAAAGCTTGCTACATGCTGATACATTGGTTGAGCACTGCTACTAAAAGCTAATACCCTCCTCTCCCCCCTTCTCTACCTCTCCCAAAAAAGCTAATACCCCCAAACCTTCATGAGGACTGCTGAAGCAGGATCAAGATCAGAAAAGGGATGGAAAATTTTTTAGAAGGTCCAAATACCCAGTCTCTTATTTAAGACTAGAAGCCTGGTGCATGAATTTGTTTAAATTATAGATTGATACGAATTTGTGCACCAGTGGGGTCCCTCAGTCTAGCCTGCAGGATCCGGCCGAACCTGGCTCTCCAACATCCCCTGAGGGGTCCCAGATTGTGAAAGGGCACAAGACAGGCTGAGGGACCCTACCAGTGCACAGTCGGGGCCGGGGAGGGACATGGGAGGTTGGCCAGCCAGGGAGGGACAGTGGAAGGGCTCCAGGGCGTGTCCAGCCTGTCTTGCTCAGTCCTGATCAGCCGGACCCCAGCAGCAAGCTGGGCAGACATTCCAACTGGTAAACCAGTTGGAGTGTCTGCCCCTTGGTGGTCAGTGCACATCATAGCGACTGATCCAATGGTTGACTGTCTGCCCCTGGTGATCAGTGCATGTCATAGCGAGCAGTTGAGCGGCCTTAGCTTATCATTAGCATATAATGCTTTGATTGGTTGAGCAGACGACTGTACGACCGGACACTTAGCATATTAGGCTTTTATTATATAGAATTCCAGTGCTAGATTGTAGTCCCCATTGGAGCTCCTGGGCAGAAGGGCCAGTTTGGTACATTGGAGACATAGGAACACTAAATTCATATGGACACCCAGAGTCTGCACTGTCAGCAAATATTTGTTGAGTACCTGTTTTGAGCCAGGCTTTGAAAATACAGATGTGGCTCCTATCTTCATGAGTTTACCATTTATTAAATTCTTCACTGATATTCCTGGACTTTGGATGTTGAGTTTAAGTTGTCCTTGTTACATCTAGGTGGCTGGATTTATGGGTCTGCAGTTAAACTTTGATGTTTGTATTGGGGGAATAATTTATTTAATTAACATGAAAGAAAGAAAAGAAACCTATACTTATTGAGTTTCTATGTGTCAAGAATGACAGTAGGTGCTTTCTTTTTATAGTATAGTTTTTATTTTGTTCTTCATAATAATTACGGGGTAGCTAATATTAGTCGCCCCTTTTATGTAAGAATTTTATTTTACTTGCCCATGGCCTTACAACTTTAAATAGCATAATTAGTATTTATTGTAGGACTATTTCACTTTAGAGCCCATCTATACTTTGGGAGTGGACCAGATTGCCTAAGAGTAATTGAATCTCTTACAGAATGAGAAGAGAAAGAGAGTTAATGTTGGAATACCTAGAATACCAGCATTTAAAGGTTGGAGGATTTAAAGGTTGACTTCAACAGAAGAGACTTGAAAGGTCAGAGGAGTACTGAGAGAGAGCTTTATGAATCTATGTTGGTGAGGGGAGGAAAGCTTTAGGAAAGATCATGCTTCTCAGGCTGCCAAAAGAACAAGTAGGAGGAGGCCTTTTTTTTTTTTTTTGAGAACATTTGATAGCTAGGATGTTATTTGTGACATAGTAGTTTCTGTAGCTAATGGTGGGAGTTGAAGTCAGATGACATAGAAGCTTGTGGAATGAATAAAAAGAGAAGGGGAGATCTTGAAATAGCATTTTAAAAATAAATTTATAATTGAAGGCAAGGTATTGTTTACAACAGATAACCTGCAAGTTTCTAAGAATAGGTTAGGAATTAGATAAGAAGGGTATAGGTGAGAATAGGAGGTTTGAGAACAGTAGTGAAGAACTGATTGTACCAGTAACTGTACTACAAAGTATTGACAAATTGTAAGTTATATAACTGGAGTCAAGTGTTTTGTTGTGGCTATTCCCAGACCTGACTTTAACTGAAAACAGCTGAACACCAGTTACTTCAGTATGTTTGCATTTATTTATTAAATTTTGGATTGATACTTCAAATGCCAAAAATACAAGGACCTTTGGGAGAGATTTATAAGTGTTGTGAAGTCAAGCAGTTATATAATTGTTTTTAGATGCTGCACAGTTATTCTCCTTAGCTCTTCTGGAATAGCAATGATTTAGTCACTTGAATGATTGATCCAGTTTCAAAAATTGTAATCTTAAATCCAGAGATGACTTTTGATAACATTTAGTTATTTTCTTCTGGGTTTTTCTTTCAGATGCCTTTTCCTCATTTAAATGATAAAAAGTATTCCTTAACACCATAAAATATTCTTTGGATAATGATTACTAATTTTTAATTTCCACTATATTTATGTATCACTAAATATTTTCCCATTTTATTAACACTTTATTTCTATTTATAATGGGAACATCTTTGTACATAGATCTTTTCTCAATTTTAAAGCAAGTGTTACTCAAGCAACTGTGCTGTTACATTTGTTGCTATGTAAAAACCTTGGAGTAATTGTGAATTGTTTTGTATTTTCAAGTTGTAGGTATGTCTATGGATGGGTGGATGGATGGATGAATAGGTAGATAATGCTCTTACCGTCACATTTTTTCTTTCTCAGGAATTCTTTGTTGCTTTGCGTCTTGTGGCATGTGCCCAGAATGGATTGGAGGTTTCACTGAGTAACTTGAACCTGGCTGTTCCTCCACCAAGATTTGTAAGAAATGCTTTTAAATTTAAATTTTCTTTTCTAAATTGCTCTATTAAAATAATTTCCCCCAATTCCTATTACCCAGCTACTTTTCTTTCATAATGGCTACCACTTATTAGTTTCTTGTGTGTCCTTCCAGAGTTATTATATATATATGTGTATATAAAGAAATAACAATACCTATTTTCTCATTTTATATTTATTGTATCATTCTGTACACACTATTTTGTACCTTATTTTAATAACTTAGTATGTTTTGGAGAGTGTACATATCATTACATAAAAGCTTCCTTGTTCTTTTTATAGCTGCATTATATTTCTTTATTTCTAGTCACCATAATTTATTTAACTTCCTTTTGATAGACTTTTAGCTTGTTTCTAATCTTTTACTTTAAAAAATGCTGCAGTGCATAATAACCTTGAATATATATTATTTTGCTTATGCAGAAATATACTTAATATATGTAAATTCTCAGAAATGGAATTGCTGTTTCAAAAGTTTGTTCGTTTGTAATTTTCCCATATAATATCAATGTGTCTTCATAGTGGTAGCACTAGTTCACACTCCCATCAGCAATTGGTTAAGTGCATTTTTGCTAACATACTGTTGTCAAACTTTTGGATTCTTGTTAGTTTGATAGGTGACAAATGGCATGTTAGTGTTGTTTTCATTTGTCCTTCCGGTTTTATGGAATGAGGTTGAATAGTTTTTCTCATGCTTATCATCCATTTACAGTGCCTTTATGTGAAATGCCTATTTATAGTCTTCGCTTATGTTTTGTGGCTTTTGGTCTTATTGAATTCTAGAGGCTCGTTATATATTAGGAAAACAGCTCTTTGTCTATATGAGTTGCAAATATTTTTTCCCAGTTTGTCATTTTGACTTTGTTTATGGTGATTTTCTTCTATAAAGGTGTCATTGTTTTTTATGTATATGAATTACTAGGATTAAAAGTTTTTTATGGTTTCTTTTTTCACATTTATATAAGGTATGTAAGGTATGAGTATGGATTAAAATTTATGTTTTTTAAAGATGGCTACTTTACAGATCTAATGCAGTTTATTGATAATCATCTTTTCCTTAACTGATTTGAAATGCCATCTCAATCATATGGTAAATTCTCCATCTGTATTTTGGTTTCTTTTTGGATTTTTCTGTTCATTGATCTGTTTATCCATATGCTGATCTCCCATTGTTCTAATGATCATATTTGGTAATTTATTTTCATATCTAATAGGGCTAAGCCTCACCACCCTACTTCTTGTTTTCAGAAGTTTCGTGGCTCTTCATGCTTACTTTTAAAATCAGTGTTTTAGAAGTATTTGGTCTGAATATTATGAATTTATTTAGTTTTGAGAATTTCTGTACTTCTGAGTTTAGGCTTAGAGTCATGGAATCAGAAGGGTAATTTAGGGATTTGTTGCCTATATTATCATAAAATTTATTCAAATATATTTATCTGTCTCTACAAGCAGATAATTATAATTAGTTGGGCATGCTATTGATAGGTTCATGTAATTGTAACTTATAAATCTTAAGTTTGGTTCTTGTCCCTGTCAGTTTTCCTTAAAGAGTGCTGGGAAAGCCGAGACCGGTTTGGCTCAGTGGATAGAGCGTCGGCCTAGGGACTGGAAGGTCCCAGGTTCGATTCTGGTCAAGGGCATGTACCTGGGTTGCGGGTAAAAAAAAAAAAAAAAAAAAAAAAAAGAGTGCTGGGAAGAAATCATCAGTTAACAGGGCAATAAATATTTTTGGTACATTCAGATATCTTTATCTTTCTGTCAGTTATAATAGGTTTCTTAAGTTTATAATAGGTAATACTTAAGTTTTATTTAGTGCTCCATAGTCATTTATGCAGTTTTTGTTTCATTTGTACTTAGATGGTCTAATAGAATTAATGTAAAATAGAGTATATGTGTTTATTGAGATCCAGCATTTTGTATGAATGTATTTAAGGCCAAAGATCTCTTTTTTTTCATTGTTTATTGATGTGAGGATTTCAGCCCTTCATATGCTGTATTTTCTTTTTTAGCATGATACCAGTAGTCCCTTGCTAATTAGTGGAACTTCTGCAACTGAGCTCCCATGGGCTGTAAAAGTAAGTAAACTTTGTAACTATTCACTCCTTACTCCTGCTTTTCTTCCACATCATCTCTTTCTCTACTTTTATAATATGTTGCAGTCTTCATTAGATTTTCATTTTTTACTGTTCAGGAATTACTGGTACTAGAAATCTTTGGAGGGATCTTACAGCACTAGCAATCATTTTGTGACAATTAGTACTGGTTTTATCTCATTCCTTTTATAGTGTAAACTAAAAATGGTAACCCTGTATTAACTGAAGTGTTTGATGAGTTTTTACCCCACTGGTATTATGTCTAGTTTACCCTACTGATATTATGTCTGACTTAAAAATTCTGTTAAATAGTACTGTTTTTAGAGCTATAAAACAAATAATTCTTTATTCTTTCAAGAAATTATATTCTGAAATGGATATTTTGCTTTATAGGTATTTAGAAACATCACACTAGTTATAGCTATCTTTTCAGATTAAAAAAATACAATTTATGCACTTAAATAATTTTTAATTGATGAGAGAGAGAGAGAGAGAGAGAGAGAGAGAGAGAGAGAGAGAGAAAGAGAAATCAATTGCTGTGTGTGCCATGACCAGGTATTGAAGCCACAATCTTGGTGTATTGGGATGATGCTCTAACCAACTGAGAGCTATCTGGCAAGGGCTTTATAGATTTTTAAAAGCATTATTAAAAAATACTTTTAGTATATAGCAGATCAATGACTTTCAATAAAAATATGTACAGTTTTGTCAGAAAACAATTTTGGTTTGTCTGTATAAGTTACTTCCTTGCTGTGGATCTGCTTTAAGTGAGAGGATTGGGCTAGGTGTTTTTCTCAAAGCCCTTCTATCACTGAAATCTTGTGATTCTAATCTAACAGAAAAGCAAAGATAGTGTTCCAGCTACAAAGGAGTGGGGTGGAGGAACTTAAATTATCATTTACTATAATATATTTTGATAAAAGTAAAAATGTTTTTTAAATGATGAGTTTAAGAAATATGCTGTCTGTTCTTTGAGTGTTTGATTTTTATAACTGCATTGAAATCCTTTTCTCTATTGTTTTAATTTGTGATGTTTTTTATATTATAGTCTGAAGATAAGGCCAAATATGATGCAATTTTTGATAGTTTAAGTCCAGTGAATGGATTTCTGTCTGGTGATAAAGTGAAACCAGTGTTGCTCAACTCTAAGTTACCTGTGGATATTCTTGGAAGAGTAAGATATTATTAAATTATAAATGTAATTTTTATGTATTTTAAATTTGTATCTACCAGGAGCGCTTATAGCTCATTGTTAAAAAATGCACAAATCTTATTTTGAAGTTGTGTTATAGAATTTTTTGTGTTCAGACTTAATATATGAAATAATTGCCAATTTGTTTCCATATTTGGTTACCTCTTCTAAATTATGAGTGTTGGAAATTAGCTATATGTAAAAGCCTTTTAAGTAGGTCTTTTTTTCTTTATGCTATACATTCTGACCTCTTAATTCCTTGATTTAATTTCCAGAGACCGTCAGTAATTTTCAAGTGCTACCTATTCCATAGCTATATCAGGGGGCCTTGTTATAAGGAACCATTTCATCTCTGAAAACATAAATTCTACTTTCTAACTAGAACTTATTATCTTTCTAGATCTCTTTCCTAGATACTTGCAAGATTACTATAGTACTTCTTTGACTTCATCAAGATCTTTAAATCTCGACTCCTTTACTTTCTCCCTCTTTTGAATTTCCTTTTTCCTCATCCAATTTAGATTTTTATGGTCCATAGTTTCATGTCAGTATCCTTAGCTCCCTTTACCATTTTTTTAACTTCTTGATTGTATGATGAAAATCCAGCTTTGTGTGAAGCTAATTATTTACCTTCTCTGTGGTTGCATATGGACTACTGAGAAAGTCTAATAAAGATCGGTATCGTCATAATTTCATGATCATCAACTTCAGCTGGGCTTTCCTTATTGCCAGCCACTCTTGTGCTGTTTCCATAGTGATTTTTCTCCACCTCTTTTTATATTTCAAACCTTATCTACTCTCATTAAACCTCCAGTCCTTTCTTTTTTCTTTTTTTAAAATATATATATATTTTTTAAATATATTTTTATTGATTTCAAAGAGGAAGGGAGAGGGAGAGAGAGAGAGAAACATCAGTGATGAGAGAGAATTATTTATTGGCTGCCTCCTGCACGCCCCGTAATGGGAATCAAGCCTGGAACTAGGGCATATGCCCAGACTAGGAATCGAACTGCCACCTTTTGGTTCATAGGTGGACACAACCACTGAACCATGCCAGCCAGGTTCCAGTCCTTTAATCCCTTGCTTAATCCTACTCTGTAGAGTCTAATCCTGTCTGAACCACTTCCTAGTTGTGTGACATTGGGCAGATCATTAGAAAATCATGTCTCAGTTTTCTAATCTTTAAAATGAGTATGATTCAGTTTATAGGGTTGTAAGGATTAAATGTGATAATGTATGTAAAGTACTTAGCACATACTCTTTGAATGCTACTATGCCGATGATGAAGATGATGATGATGATAATGATGATGATGATGATGATAATGAAACCACACACCACCAGCAATCGTGCTATTCAATCAGTGTTGCATAGGTTACTCAATATACATTAATTTAAAAGCCTTTTATTATTTCTTACTAATCATTTCTCCACTGTTTGGTCCAGTGTGAGATTTCTAAACTATAAATATAATCCTGTTATCTTTTTTTTTTTTTAACATAAAACTAACCCTCTTAGTAGCTTCCCATTGCATTCAGGATAAAGTCCAAACTCCTTTCAAGGCATTTAGTGACCAGGCACTTATCTCCACTCTTGTCTCTCATCAGCTCACTTTCTCTTCTTGCCCCCAAGTGAGATTTTGTTGAAAGTTTAAATATCTTCTTCTCAAGGATTTAACATAGTTTTGTAGCTGGTCTAAAGCTATGTCATTTATTCTAAATTTAGGCCAAATCTACCAGGGCCTTTCAGATTTTATTTTTCTTTGTAAGCCCTGGACATTAGCTGGCTGATGTTTCATTACACAGTATTCATTACATAT